CGTCTGCTGCACTTTTGAACACTTTGTAGTACAATTCAAAACGAGGTAAGGACATCCTATTCGAGGACCAACGACACATGGGATCGGGGTCACGGGATCGATTCGGTTGCATCGAGGTCTTCCAGCATGGCGAGCACGGGCAACACGACCGCGGCGTGGGTGCTCGCATGCGCCGCGGCGCCCCTAATCTGCAGCTTGCTCCGAGCCGCCAATACACACTATATAATCTCGATACTAATAAGCCTTTTTACGGTCAATTAATGCAGTGTTTTCGAATCAAGCTCCAAAATCCTGGCGTTGGGCGTGGAGAATTTCAGGTTGACATGTGAGTCAGGAAGTGGCGGGTTAGCGGCTTCTTTTAGTTCAGGTTTGGGCACTAGATTGCCATATGGCGGGTTCGAGTCCCGAGCGCACCCCACCTTCAAAAATGAACCTGCACAGTAGCACCTAAGCTGGTCGCTTGCTGGAGGATGGCGTTGCCACGTCAGAAGGTTCTTTGAAGCTCGCGCACTTGAGATTCGCGCTCGGCGGTCGACGATGGTTGGCGAACTTCTGTCACCTCGGGAAATGTTACTGGGCCATATAAAAATAGCAATATTTTAAACAAAGATTTCACAATATTTCTTCGATTATGCGGTATATGTCTATCTAATTGTATCGAATATTTTAATTAGAAAACACCTTGCCCATGTCTTTGAATTATATTTTTTATTTAATTACACCGCAGAAAGCTCCATTTTCGGATCCAAGGTGCGAGGCGAGCATGGGGAATCAGCAAGGAAGCCCACGCAAGTCGAAGCGGTCGTCGCTGCAGGGCGTGCTCAACCTCGTCCAAGGCAAGGTCGACGAGGCCATCGAGGATCACTCGCGCCTCGCGCCCGACATGTTTGCCGTCTCGCTCGCCGGGCACCATGGCCTGCCCGCGCAGCCGTCGCTGACGTGCTACCTCGCGGCCCACGAGCTGCTCGTCGTTGCAGCTGGGTACCAGCAGATCAAGCTCTACGGCGAAGACGGCCTCGAGATGTTTGTGTCGTGCATCGCGAACGAGGCCACGGCGACGGCCGGTGCGTCCACGAGCTTCCTGCAACCCACGGCGAATGGGCGCCTTGTGCTTGTCTCGTCCGACAGTGGCGTCCAAGTTGTCTCGCTCGAGCAATTGCAATCCGGCGCGTCGCCGCTCATCGCGTCCTTGTCGCCAAGGTACACGCCTCAACATGTACCAGCATTCTCATGCCCATGTCAACTAGCTGGAAAATGTGCCGGATCACGGCCCTCGAGACGATCAAGAGCCACAAGGCGGCGCCGTTCTTCTTCCTCGCCCTCGACGACGGATCGATTCAGGTGCCTTCTTCTATATCTCGCTTGCCCATCCTCAGCACGACCTCAAGCACAACGCTGTAGGTCGTTCAAGAAGAGACTTGCGCATTCGCCACGTACGCGATCCAGGCTGCGCAGCTCGGTCTTGGCGGCGACGACGTTGCCGTTTCGGCGATGGCCAGCAACCCGAGCGACGCCAACCAGTTGCTCTTGGCGTACGAAGGCGCGCATGAGACCAGCGTCTTCCTCTGGGACCTCGCCAAGAAGAAGGTATTGCACAAGGCGACCGTGCCGCCGGCCCATGGAAGCGTCCAGAGCCTCGCATGGCATGCGAGCGGCAAGCGGTTCGCCGCCGGCTTCCAAGATGGCTCGTTTGGCGTCTTTCGCACCGACAAGCAGCAGAGCGCGTTCTTTCCTACCACGACGGCGGCTCCGTTGACGCGGCTGGCGTGGGCAGCGACCGACGCCAACTCGGCCGGCCTCCTCATGTGCGCCTGGACACCATCCTCGCCGTCCGTACAGATCTACGCGGCGCCACGAGACATCTCGGCCAAGGACGCGCTCTCGGCGATGACGAAACACGCATCGTTTCCTTGGCGCATCACGTCCTTGCCCACGTCATCGCGCGTTATGGACGTCGTCCTGACAAGCCATTTGACGCCATCTGCGTCATGCGCGCCGTTCACTTGTATTGCGCTCGTCGGCGACCCCATGGGTGGTGTGCTGCCTCGTATCGAGTTGCTGCCCGTGCCATGCACCGTCGTCCAGCCGCTCACACCGAAAGAGGAGCTTGTCTGGATCGAGATGGACGTTCTGCCACTCCCACTTCCGTCGTCGTCGGTGCAGACACCTACCGTCGCTGCGTGGCACATTGTCGATCTCGGCGGCGTCAACGGCTCTTTGCGGGACGATCTCTTCTCGACGTGCGAGGCCAAAGCCGAACCAAGTAGCCTCAACGGGTGGTCGTCGCCGCTTCGAGGAGGATCGATCGAGCACGTGACGCCGCAGCTGTCACCCGACGCCTGTGCGCAGCTGCACGCGACGGATGTGCACCGCGCCTCGCTGGTCGTCACGGCCCATTTCGACGCGTCGACCTCAGTCGTGCGTTTCTGGGAGCTCCTGCCACGTCATGACGGTATTGGCGCCGGCATTTTGACGCTACTGCATACGCTGGACCTTGCGCCCCTCGAGCTCACGTTCAAGCAAGTGACGGCGGTGCACTTTTGCCCTACTTCGCGACTGCTGCTTGTGGGCATGGAGTCGGGCGAGGTGGCGGTCTTTTCGTTTCAGGAAGGATTTCAGCTTGCGTTCACGCTCCACGTGCACTCGAGTGCGATCGAGCACATGGTCGTCTCGGCGTCGCTTGGGTACCTTGCGACCTCGGATGCATTTGGCGTCGTCGCCATTGTGCACTTGGATTCGCAAGAGTACAAGCTCGCGGTGTTTGATATCTCAACCGAAGAGGCTGTGAGTGTCAACGCACTCCTTCTCCACGAGCGTCTGCTGTTTGTGGGCCGAGGCAACAGCTGTGTCGAGCTCTACGACCTCGTGTCTGCCGATCTCCTCACGCGTTGCCACGTGAGCGACGGCCCCGCCGACGCAATCGCCCACCTGCTCTTGCTCCACGAAGACGGCGCACCCGTGCATCCCGTGGCTCTGGAGAGTACCGCGACCTTGTTGATACCGTGGCTTATGGTGATGGTGGCATCTAGGCCGAGCCGAGAGCGAGTCGCACGATGAGCTCAAGAAGACCGAGACGGAGCGCAAGGTGGCCGGGATCCTTCAGCGCTACGCGGCGCCGCCAACGCGCATGCCAATCGAGCGCCATGAAGGTGTACACGTGACGTTGGCACCCGGGCCGCTCGGACTCTTTCTGGACGACGAAACGCAAGACCGGGTTCTCGTCAAGGTACACTCTTTGCATGTCGGCGTGCGCTCATGTACATTAGGCGTTTGTGGACGATGCACCCAACGCAGCTCTTCTGCGCCAACACGGCGTGACAGCCATGAGCTCGCTTGTCGCAATCAACGGCGCCGACGTCTCCCAGCTGCGCAAGGACGACGTCGTGCAGCTCTTGTCGTCGCTCAGCGCCGAGACAAAGCTCCTGACGTTTGCGCCGCCACCAGAAGCCGAGGCGCCGTATCTGCTCTGCGCCAAAGGCAGGTCGCTGGCCATCTTTAAGGCCGTCGCACCCGAGAGTACACAAAGCGCTGCGACGTCCCCGTCGCCGATGCCAACACTCGCCGTCGATGTCGAGGCGTCTGTGGAGCTGCGCTCGACCATTGCGTCACTGGCGATCGTGAGCCTTCCGATCGACGGACGGTAGTACCTTATCAGCGACGATGGAAGATGCTAATGCTGCCCATGTAGGCTCGACCATGGTATTCTGGCGCTGGACGATTCTGGCTACGTGTACATGCTTGCGGCGCCGAGTCTGCGGGTCATTTGGAGTGCGTCGCTGCCGTCGATGGTGCAAACAGGCTACGCGTTCGACTATGTCCACGTTGGCGTGGCAGCGTCGAGCGCCGAGATTATATTGTGCACGTCCTCGGGTGACGTGGCGCGCTTCTCGGTGCTGCAGAACGAACTCGCGTCGGAGCTGTCGATGCTGCAATGGGTAGATCATCCCGATATTGTAGAGCAACCTACTGACGTCTGGCGGCGTATAGACCACGACCAAGGTCCGCGTGACTAGCGACAAGCCTGTGCAGCAGCCGACGGTGGCTGAGCCGCCCCTCGAGCGTCGCAACAGCAGCAGCATTTTCAAAGTGTTCTCCTCGAGCTCGACCGACGTCGACTTGAACAAGGTATAAGTGTACTGCTTGAAGTTATGTATATTCTCTGCGTTTAGGTGTTTGTGGTGCCGCCCAAGGACCAATCGGAGCGCGAGCGGCTCATGGGCGACCGATCACCGGCGCCGCAAGCGACGGGTGCCACCAAAGATATCAAGGGCGGTATGAGTGCGACGATGGGCGCGCTGAACGAAGCGACTCAAGTACATATGTTACTTGCTTGCACCATCATCATACCCATCTCTAACATTATAGAACCTCCACTTGCGCGGCGAGAAGCTCTCGGACTTGGGCGAAAAGACGGAGCAGCTCAAGCGCCACGCCGATGAGTTTTACCAGACGATGCGCGCGTTCAACGAGCGTGAGGCCAAGAAGAAATGGTACCAAATCTAAGACACAAATGTATGTATCTCTTCTGCAATATTGTCTGGTGGACGGCAGACGATCTTCTACAACAGCGGCAACTTCCATTCTGATCGAGTAATCGACTGACGACATGATCGAGGACCATCATAGTCGGCGATGGACGATCTGTAGCAGGACATTGTTGAAGTTGTCTTCTACGGACGCCACTTCTCGTCGCTGCTTGCTGCGCGACTTGGACGTCTTCGCCTTCACGATCAGCAGGGTGACGTGATCCGGATACGGTGGGCGAATCATACGGATCTTTCGCGCCAAAGCGTGGAGCTGGCGCGAAAGTAAGATTGTTTCATTAAGTCTCAATAGCTCCCAATCTACATCTACATCACCAGAGCACCAGGGCGGCAATCTACCTACGATTGGAACTGTGCGTTTCTCCAACGAGCTTTTACAAGTTGACGCCTTTACACGCAAAAACCCATCGAATTCATTTCTCATTTTGCAGCGGGCCGCACAGCCGCCGGGTCGGAGTAGCCTTGGCGCTGCGCTGGCGTTGGGAGACCGCAGCATTCGGCCCACGGGCTCTGCCATCCCTACCGGGCGGCTGTCGCTCGCTTGCGTTGGTGGAGGACCATAGTAGTAGCGTAGTAGTGCAGTCGTGTACTAGTAGTCGTAGAAGAGAAGCATTGATTGATCATGAACGTCCTCTAGCAAGTCGCATCTTCGTGCTGCCTGATGCATCCGTCGCAAGTGACATTGCCTACATGCAGTGGAGAGGACCAGTATGGATGCCAAGGAAGCTTCCTTGATACATCATGGATCCAGCATCCAGCGCAAGGTCAGTTGCACACAACACGTCTTGGTGCAACACAGCTCCAGTCCAGCAGCGAGTACGTTGTATAGGCAATAAGGCGTATTCACTCGTCTTCCTTGAATTAACGCATGCACACATGCATGAGCTGCGTCTACCTCGCTTGAGTTGCGCATGATCCTCGCGCGATCTTGGTCGGCATGGCTACTCGTGCGACACGACCGGATTGCGGCGCGAAAAGTCCGAGTTTCAAATCCTAATTAGGCACATAACCGTCCAATCTTGAGGGCCGAATAATGTTCGAATTGTATTACCTACAAAAAGACAGGTAAGCCCGCTCTTTTTATTGCACTCGCTGGCCTCGCCGAAGCAGCAGCGATGCCTGATGCCACAACCCAATCCATCCCACCGCCCAACCCTCGCCGCGAGCCCATGACGTCGTCGCTGCCTCGGCGCCTGCGGATAGCGCTGCTGCTGCTGCTCTCGCTCTCGCTCAGCGCCATGGCCATCGGCTCGATGGAGGCCGTCACAACGACGGCGCCGCCCGAACGCGAGATTACCACGAGCATGCTCTTGCAGCGTCCGAGCAACATGAGTGCGCCGGGCGAAAGGCGTGGCGTGCCAGCAGCCGTCGACGACATGAACGCGACCGCCATCAACAGTACGATCCAAGTCCCGACATCGACGCCGACGGGAACATTTCCCGTCAATGACACGACCCACGGCGTGCCAGGCAACCCGACCAACATCAAGGCTCTGGCCTCGGACGCGCAGGCGCAAGTGACATGGGACGCACCAGACGACGACGGCTCGGACCCGATCCTCGAGTACGAGATCTTGCTCTTGCTCGTGAGCACCAACACGCCGCTCGAGAGCACGGTGCATGTCGGCGCGACGCAGAACGGCGCCGTGCCCACGACGGCAATCGTGCCCAACCTCCAAAATGGCATCTCGTATGCGTTCAAGGTCCGCGCGCGCAACGTCAATGGCGTCTCGACGTGGTCGGCCAAGTCGGAGCCCGTCTCGCCGCTGCACCCACCCGATCTCTGCACGAGCCAGACGTGCGCGGGCAACGGCGCGTGCTTTCCAGTCTACGCGCCCAAGATCAACGACAGCACGTCGTCTGCCGAGTGTCTCTGCAAGCCTGGCTTTGTTGGCCACGACTGCTCGCGGCGTGACGACGCGATCCAGTACTTTTGGGACGTCGGGCCGTGGTCGAAATGCTCGACGGGTTGCGGCGGCGGCATCCGCCAGCGGACGGCGACCTGCACGTCGATCGCGTCGATGGCTGCCGTCTCGGACATCAAGTGCGACGGGCTCCTCCAGCCCACGCTCACGTACATTTGCAACGGCTTTGAGTGCGGCTCCAAGCTCATCGAGGTCATCTACGAGATCGAAATGTTCTACGACGACATTCTCTTCTCGAGCAAGGCCGAGCACGCGTTCGCAACAGCGTTTGTGACCGAAGTCGCCTCGGCCCTCCAAGTCGCACCCGCCCGGCTGGACATTGAAGCCATCGTCCACGGCAGCATCCGGGTGACCTTTCTCTTGCTGCCGCCCAGCCAGGCCGACGGCAAGTCGCTCAACGACGTGGTGGCCGACCTCCACGCGCAGATCCAGGACCGCACGAGCGTGCTGCGGACGCAAGGGACGTTTGCGCGACGCGTGTACCCGTCCGGTGTCAAGCTCTCGTTTATGATTGCCGAGCAGCATGCAGCGGGCGACGCCGGCGACATCTCGATCATGGGGCTCATTGGTACTGTCTTGGTCTCGGTGCTCTTCATCTCGGCGTTTGCGTATTGTCTTCGGAAGCGCCATGAACGCATTTTGGCCGCCAAGAAGGACCGCAAGATGAAGCGCATGGACATTACGACCTCGAGTGTCTAGCCAAATGGCAGATTCCTAACTTAACTCTACCAGTACAAATAGACAATATCGTTGGATATTTGGTGGATTTTGTTGGGAAAAGGACAATTGGAATCTACTTGCGGCTCGCGCGTTCGACGAGACCGAGGTCCTCGACAAAGTCAAAGTTGCCCGAGAGGAGATCGTTGCGGTAATTCTCGACGTACGCAGAGAACGAAGCCGCGAGCTCCCGCCCGAGCCCGTCCTCGGAGCATTCGTGGACCGCGTTCGCGTGCTTGGTGTCAATGACGAGGAGGTTGCCATCGGGATCGGCTGCGAGCGGAATGAAGCCCCGCGCCCAACTCTCCCAACGCGACGCGGTCTCGCCCGTCGAAATCATATCCTAGCCAAGATGATCCATGCAACATTCGTGGCCGCGAGGACGTACGTCGCAGCTCAACGACTAGAAACTCCATAAGATTCACCAAACGAGAGAGGAGATGGACGCTACCTTGTACTCGTTGAACCAAACGCCTCCATTCTGCTTCTCGAGCAGGTACCCGAGCGCCTATTGCATGAGGTCGCGTTCGCGCTTGAAGTCGATGACGTTACCCGCGGGACGGGCGCGCCCAGAGCCTTTTGCAGCGACTCGACCTCTATTCATGCTGGTCACGTATGGCGATGTGTTGCCCATGCACCTTCGGGCTCGATCGTTGCCTTGGGCAGGTTGGCCTTCTTGCGCTGGAACCAGCTGAGGATGTCTACGCCGCTAGAGCATGGGGCTTCATGGGCCATGCCATGGGCGTACCGAAGATGCATTGCTCCGTCTCCTCGGCCGTCATGCCACCCTTGCGCTTGTTGCCTTCCTCGGCGACTTGGACCGACATGCTCGCGACGGCTCGTTTCGTGTTTTGGATCCCACGGCTAAGATTGTCCGGATAGACACCTCTTCGTATCCGGTCGATGCATCGCGCTTTGGACACTCGTTGTGATTGGTCAAAATAGATATGATTGCAACAAACGCGCTTCTTCATTGGCCAGCTTACACCATCAACATGTTTCATTGGTCAGCTAATGCCATTTGGCAGGCTGTCGGATCGCTGAGATCGCTGCCTCCCGGGAGGAGCTCAGGTGGGAGGAGCTCATCCTGTACAGCTTGTACTTGTCGCTACTCGCTTCAACTGTGCAGTGTGATGCGTCTACGAATCGCACGTCGAACCCTAGGTTTCTTGGTCGCGAGATTTAGAAGTCGCAATCGCACGCACCAGGAGAGTAGCGGTTCTCCGAGTTGGATCAAGGTTGAGAGGGTTCTGGTACGCTGCACCCAGAGCTTGACGCTGTGTATCTGCACGGCGGCCATGGCACTCGCGTGGTCATTCCGATGGACCGAGTCTGCGCATCTCAAATGTGAGTTGGCACGTTGAGATTGCATTTTTGAAAACGTACGAGTTCCAGATGCCAGATGCACCGAAACTCGTCGCCGTAGGTACGGTAGTCGTGGTCTGGTTGACTGCGAGAAGCGATTTGTGGCCGATATGGCTCCTCTTGCCGTTCATGCAGTCGGGTCGTTGCTGGCGGGCTCCGTGGTATTGAGCTCGTTAGACGACGACGACGGCTCATCTCCACCGACCATTCCAGTCAATGAATTTGGCACTTGTCGTCCTTGGCCATCATTCAGATGCCAGGACAGAGTCAGTACTGCGTAGTTGGGGATAACCTATTGAACGCCACGCAGCGAGGAAGCCTGCTCTGGCCGTTCTTCCTTGCGTGGCAGCACTTGAGTTTTGCGAGCCAAAGTGCAAGTGGCAATATCCGGATAATACGGATACTGGCCGAGATCCACGCCCCAGAACCCAACAACCGACAAGACAGCAGCATGGCGTTCGAGTGGCATGCGACGCAAGATGCGATCGACGAGGAAGAAGACTGGGAAGCCGCCCAGAGCGGCAAGGAGGCGCTCCTCGTCCTCATCGACGTGCGCAAGTCCATGTTCCAACGCGTCGACGGCGAGGCCATGAGCTGGTTCCAGACTTGCGGCGAGATGCTCGTGAAGCTGCTCAAGAGCAAGATCATCGCGAACGACGGGTCGCTCATGGGCGTCGTCTTCTTTGGCACGGTACGCTCCATGTAGGAGGATGACGACGATGGGAAAATGACGCCATCTGGGCTATAGACGACGACCAAGAACGTGAATGGGCTGGACCACGTGTACGAGCTCCAGGAGCTCGGGTTTCCATCGGCCCGCCGCATCAAGCAGCTTCGCGATATTGTCGACGACGCGTTCGACTTCCAGGCTGCGTTTGGCTCCATGGGTGAGAACGACCCTGTGTCGCTGAGCAATGCGCTGTGGCACGCCGGCATTGCCTTCTCCAACGCCAAGTACGTCACTTCTTCGTCGTTCTCTGTGCAAACATGGACTTAATATGGATATTAGCCTCCAGAAGAAAGACTCGCAGACGATCTGGATCCTGACGAACCAAGAAGACCCGACGATGGGCGGCGCCGACGAGGCCGACCGCGTCCTCAAGCAGTACGCCAACCACGTCGAGCTCAAGCGCGCGATCCACCTCTTCCACATGCCGCCGCCGGCTCAGTCGACCTTCGATCTCTCGCGCTTCTACGGGCGCATGTTTCAAGACGCTTCAGCATTTGCGCTCACCGAAGACAGCAGTCTTCAGCCCGCGTATGCGATCCATACCTACCAAGCCATGATGGAGGAGAGTCTTCGCAAGCGGTTCCGGAAGCGCCGGCTCACGACGCTCAGCTGGACGATCGGACCTGGTATTGCGATCGGCGTCGAGCTCTACGCGCTCCGGATCAAGCAGACAAAGCCGTCGCCGCTGCACTTGGACGCAGAGACCAACACGCCGCTCAAGTCAGAGACCAAGTGGCTCTGCGACTCGACGGGCATGTACCTCACGCCCGACCAGATGCGCAAGTACATTGAGTACGGCAAGAGCCGCGTTTACTTTACGGCCGACGACGTGGTCGAGCTCAAGTACTTTGCCGCCGCCGGTACAACCTTGATGGCGCATTTGCATCGTCTCAGACGCGTGATAGGACTCCAACTGCTCGGCTTCGAGCCCGCAGACCACTTGAAGGAGCACGAGAACGTTCGTGCACCGTACTTTATCTACCCCGCCGAGGTACACGCTTGATTATGCTCCTGAGTATCGAGTACGAGACATGTAGGCGTATATTGAAGGCAGCACGGTGGCCTTTACTGCTCTCCACACGTCGATGCTCACGAAGAAGGTTATGGCGATCGCGCGGCTCATTGCACGCAAGAATACCCCGCCGCGCCTCGTCGCCCTCGTGCCCCAGGTAGATCTTGGTATGCTGTGGCACAAGCTCACGGGTCGTAGCTCGAAGCGTACGACGACCAAGGCCAAGTGCAACCGTCGGGCTTCCACGTCATCTTCCTCCCGTACGTCGACGACGTGCGCCAGCTCCGTGTCGACGCCGACGGCCAGCGCGACCGTACGCGCCACTGTTATTGCTTCTACGTACTTATAGCCACTGGTGTAGCCAATGCCGACCAAATCGAAGCGGCCAAGAAGGTGGTCCAGACGCTCACGATCTCCGAGTTGCCGTCCTTCCAGAACCCAGGTTTGTCGACATTTCGTAGGAATAGGCGACGTTCACGACGGCATGTAGAGCTCCAAAAGCACTATGCCAGCATCCAAGCATTGGCGCTTGACGAAGACACCCTTGCGTTTGACGACAAGGACGACACGACGCTGCCGGATGCTGCCGGGTTTCAGCGCCCCAAAGTCGTGGTAGCCAGGATCATCCATTGGTCTAGTTTAGCTACACAATCCATAGGCGGCGCTGACGGCCTTCCGCGATACCGTCGGTGGCGACGAGCTCAACAAGGACAACACCAAGCGCAAGGCGCCGGCGAGTACGAGCCGAGGCGGGACAAAGGCGGTCAAAACCGAAACCGACCCGAATGACGTGGCAGCGTGGAAGCAGCTCGCAGCATCCGGTCTCGTGGCCAAGAAGACCGTCGCGGACCTCAAGGTCTTCTTGGACGCGCAGGGGCTGAGTACAACGGGCAAGAAGGCCGACCTCGTCGAGCGCACGCTAGCGTTCCTCGGCTAAGGCGATGCATGATGATGTACTAGGCAAGTGTCTCTATTGCATGGGATATGGTCTCTAGCGGAGGGTAAACTGGGCCATGATGGGCACGTGGTCGCTGCCGTGCTTGGAGTTGGGGATCCCGTTGTAGTTGCGCAGCGTCGGGTCGACCTGAGCAATCGCGTGCCAGCCGTCGGGCCCGTCTTCTTCGCGCAATTCGGCTTCGGTCGGGATCGGCAAAATGGCCTGCGCCTTGATCGTCTCTTCCGAGTACCTACGTAGAATGCATACGCCATGCCGCAGAGCACGATGATGGACGGACCAGATGTAGTCGATGGCCCAGCAGCGTCGGTAGTTGACCGTCGTGTGCGGCGGCTCGTTGCAGTCGTCGTCCGGCGCGTCCGGCGTCTCGGGCAGCGCGCGGTAGCTTGCGTACGCACTGCGCATCTTGGCGAGCGGCTGGAGGAAGACGTCACGCATGTACGCATACAGAGGCGACGATTGTGAGTTGTTGAAGTCGCCACAGAGCACAAACTAGCAACAAAACACTGTCAGACATGGCGGTCGAGGAGGATGTCGTACCGGCAGCGGCGCGTGTAGCAGGTGCTGATACTTGAGCTCGAGCGACGTCTTGAGCGCTCGGACCTCGTTGTCGAGCTCGCGGAGCTGCTTCATCTGATGGTCGACCTTGCGGCTGTTCCACCAGAGGTGTGTGCACCCGACGAGGAGCATGTCGCCTCTGTTGTCGTCCGACCGCTCTTGTAGCAGCACGAGCAGCGCGACGCGGTCATGTTCGTCGTGGAAGTTGAAGCTCTCGCACTCGCGCAGCTCGTAGCGGTCGTTCCGGAAGAAGATGCCACAGCCGTCCATCTTCTTTTCGCCGCTCCACGTCGATCGGTGCGTCGATGGGCGCTTGACCCACGCGCTCTCGTAGCCAAGGCGCGCCATAGCCGGCCGGAAGAAGGTCCAGTAGTCGCTGCACTCTTCCAAGCACACGATGTCGGCGTCGAGGCCATGCAGCTGGTCGAGGAGGATGTTCTTGCGCGTCTCCCACGCGAGCAAAGCGGGTTGCACGTACGGAAAGTGGCTGGGCGAAGCGAGGTTGCTCGCGAGGATGTTGAGCTGGACGACCGAGAAGGCCGGCTTGGCGGCGCCGCCGGCGAACGGCAGCGGGACGAGCTTCGTAGTCATGGCGCGGGTACCGGCGAGGACGTGGCGCAGACTTCGTCGCTGGAGCATCCAGCCTGAAACTGGCGTCAACGAAAAAGTATTTTAATGCTGGCGCACGAAAAAGAATACTTGGTCTCTTGTCTTTTGTATGCATTTTTATTCCAATGTTTTTTGCCCAGTGATAATGTTACGAAAGACCTCGTGGGCGACGACAGGCTTCGCTGGTCTTGGTAGGACTCGGCCGTGCACCGAGGTCGGGGATCGATACTCAGCGCGCTACCTTGTTCCTAGCTTAAGCTGAGCGTTGACTTGAATGTAGAAACATAAAGAGACCTCTCGCTGGGCGCACGTTGTTGCGTGGTGCGGCCCGGAACGCGTTGTAAATAGTGTGTGCCAGTGTTGGCATTCTGTATGGTTTGAAACAGAATTTAAAAACAGTGGATACATCTGCTTCCATTTGCAGGGCTCGCAGAAAGGACGACGACGTCGTCGTGCCAAGCGCGTCATGGTGCCATCGAAACCACTTGTACACTATACAATTTCTACTCTTCATTCCATTGATGCGACTACTACCTTACAGCGTTCAACAGAAGAAAAAACGAGACTTGGCGCAGGAGCGTACAATGAGAGAGGGACG